AAAACATTTTCTATTATTTTTAAAAGGAGGAAAGAAAAAAACCAAAGGAGATGTTTTGATTTTAAAAGGAAGTGAAAAACAAGGCAAACTGCAGGGGGAAAAGGGCCTCTTGTAAGAAGAGGGAAGGCTGGCCTCAGTTTCTTAGTGCTGGGGTAAAAGGGGAGCTCATTTCCCTGCTCCCCCATCACGGACACAAAGGAAGCCTGAACTACAAGTTGTTTTTTATTAGACAGTAGCTCTGGTATCACAGCTTCCCTTCCTTATTGCTAGAATCCAACACCTACCCCTGCAAAAGAAACATTCCCCAGGACTGACAGGAAAAGAGGAGTCTTATCTAAAGATATTGTAGTTCCAACCACCCACGGGGTGATACAAAAGGCCTTTGGTATAAAAGCAATATCCAGAAGTAGATCACTGTGAACTCTGAGGAAAAAAGAGCAATAATAAGGGAAGAGGAAGGAGAAACTTTATGACATCAAAGTAGTTACTGTTAAAAAAAAAAAAAAGCCTTGGGATAAGACATTACGTGCTCTAATAAATGGTCAGTGTCATAGTGATAATGTCAATTTTCAAGAAAGCTTTTGCCAAATTATAGCAACTATTCTGGGAAAGGAATTGCTCTGACAGCACTGTTTGACCCTTTTTAAGATCCTCGACCCATTCTACCGCAAGAGATGAGGACTCGTACTTGCTGTCCCATGCTCCCGGAAGACATTAAGTAAGGATCCTGGGTGAAGGAAAACAATCCGCAGCAGCAACAGCATCCGGGACTCCAGCTAAGCTACCAACAAGTATCAACTACCTCTGTCTGCAGATACACCAATCGGCAACATTTTCAGTCACTCGAAAGGCCCTGAGAGAGGCACAGTAAACCCAAGGGATCTTTAAGATTCTACTTTCTTTAACAATGCCACATTCACCAATAATGGCGTTCCTTGGGATTGCACATTCCTTCTACCAAAAGATCTCAGAATGCTTGGGGGACACTCTCCCACAGGAGAGAAGAGATCCGGTGGCTCCTATAAGAGGAAGAAGGTAGCAATGGTGACCGAGGAAAGCGCTGTCCACAGACAGGACGTCTCAAAGCAATCTGGAAAAACTGTCCCCAAATTAGGTCAGGGAGTCACCTCAACCACTACCTCACTCGTTTCCAGTTTAGCTTTAGATCCTCAGTATCTCTCCTCATATGCTGAACCACAACTCCACTAATCACCATCTGGAAGATTCCAGCAAAGTAACCTCAGCATACCCTATGGCAGTGCAAAATTCCAGACATTTGTAAACATTGTACATCTTGCTTTTGGCACAGGGGAGAGCTTACAGGTTATCTCTGAAGTGAAGATCTGAAACACAACTAGTTCCTATTCTATAGCCATTTTCAGCAAAGGCACTGGCAGTCTTGAGAGTATATGTGCATACATATATACTCATGAATGAAGAGAATCATCAGAATAAATTCTTTAGGACACCAGTCAACAATTTAAGTGGATACTACGGTAAATGAAAAACAACGGCTTCACAGTATCTAAGGCATGTACTTTCAGAAGTTCACATGACTCTCTGTGGGAAAAAAACCCAAATATCTGGTTAACAAATTTCTTCCTTTTGGGGCGCCTGGGTGGCTCAGTCGTTAAGCGTCTGCCTTCGGCTCAGGTCATGATCCCGGGGTCCTGGGATCGAGCCCCGCATCGGGCTCCCTGCTCGGCGGGAAGCCTGCTTCTCCCTCTCCCGCTCCCCCTGCTTGTGTTCCCTCTCTCTCTGTGTCTCTCTCTGTCAAATGGATAAATAAAATCTTTAAAAAAAAAAAAAAATTTCCTCCTTTCTAAAGAGAACCAAGAGATAATACAATAGTTCTATAGAACCCAAGATCTAATATTCACCAATTTCTCATCAATGACTGTTCAAAGGAGCCAACAATGCACTGAACTGACATTTTACAGAAAATGTTACAAATGATCCTGACCTTTAAAAATAAATTCTTACAAACAAAATAATGTCCCACAAAGCATTATATACACCTAAATATACATAAATTATTATTAAAACACAACTGCATATTTCAAATGCTTGGCAGTGATTCCATCTCTTATTAGAAAAGTTCACGGCAGTTTGTAGGCTGGCCTGGCTGACAGTGATCCATTGTTCAAGCCTAGGATTGCGGACCTTCAATATTCCAGAGGTGGACTGTGGGGAAATGGCAATACGCATCTGAAGACTTGGTCTTAAGATTTTTATAAAGTCTGATTTAAGTATTTAATACAAAAGCATAGCAAATATTGTAAGTACGGTGCAAGAACAGTGAGTTAATGAGACAGGAGACATTTTAGCTGTAACCTAGAAATTCATTGTTTCTAAGGATTTGTTGTTTTTGCTCTGAACTTTCTGTCCAGGATAACATGATCATAAATATTAAATGATAATTAAAATAAGAAATTTGGTGCTGGGGCACCTGGCTGGCTCAGTCAGTATAGAGTGTGCAACTCCTGATCTTGAGCCCCACCTTGGGCGTACTGATTACTTAAAAAAAAAAGAAAAGGG